TGATAATGAATATTTTTTTTTTGAATAAAAAGATTGTAGACATATAATTCTAAATTAAAGAAATGTATATGTCTTATTTTTTTGTTGTAGCTACTAAATTATTATTTAATTAAATAAGAGTAAAATAGAGTACTAAATATGCCAACTTTGATTGGGATGCGGTTCGAACCTAAGATCTTTCTTATTGAAATCAATGAGTAAGTTAACGATGAACTAACAGAAATTAACTAAAAAGATAATATTTAACGGAAAAGTTAACGGATAATGATATTCATTAGGGATAAATTAGGAAATCTTAAACAAAAATTAAAATTTGATCAATCTGAGGCATTCATTTAATTAAAAAATTTGACCACCATTTTTTATAACCCAGGCCTAATTCTCTTGGACTTTTATTAGTATACTAGTTTTTTACGCGCATTGCGCGATTGGGATAATGCCCAATGTTTTTTTTTTAAAATAAGTACTTTAAAGTATATTAAGGCAAGATTATATTGGAATTGTTCATGCATAGATAATTGAATGTGGAATTTCCATATTTAAATAGGTAATTCTAAGTTTACAAATATAAGATAATATAGTCAAGGTTGATTATAATTGTCAATAAAATAATTGTATAGGTATGGTTAAAACCAAAAAGGGACATAAGGGAGAGCAAATAAAAATTAGGGCATAAAATATTAAATATATACTAATATTGAAGAGCTAACTACTGATTGTCAAACAATGACATTGCGAGGTAGTTTCCGACTTCAATTTGTTGTGTGATTTGAATACTCTTTTTATCAATAAATCCCTCAAGTAGTTAATATGATTGACTTAATTTTATTTTTTTTAAAAAAAAATTATTATTATTATTATTATTATTATTATTATTATTATTATTATTATTATTATTATTATTATTATTATTATTATTATTATTATTATTAAATATATGTATACCCTTAGTTCATTTTACATGTTAATCTAAACAACTAATTTTTTCAAATATTTTTTTACCAACCGTTGATATAATTCAATTCGCTGGTCAAATCCTCTAAAGCTAACCGATAATGGCTGATTGTCAAACAAGGACATTGCGATGTAGTTCTCACTTCAATTTGTTGTCTGATTTGAATACTCTCTTTGTCAACAAATCCCTCAAGTAGTTAAAATGATTGTCTTTTTAATTATATTTTTTATTTTTTTATGGTATTAATAAAATACTTGGTAAATAAATATATATCATTATTTTGTATTATAACTTTGATATTTAATTAAAAAATAGTGCCCAAAAAAAGATAATAGACAATGTAGTGAATATAATCAATTGATGAATTTAAATGTAAAGAATTTTTAAATTGGAGAAATATAAAGACAATATAACTAATAAAATTACTTCTCTTAATTAATTTATTGATAATGAATAATTTTTTCTTTAAATAAAGACATCGTAGAGGCAATATAACGAATATAATCAATTGATGAATTTGAATGTAAAGAATTTTTATATTGGAGAAAAATAAAGACAATATAACTAATAAAATTAGTTCTCATATTTAATTTATTGATAATGAATAATTTTTTTTTTGAATAAAGACATTGTAGACATATAATTCTAAATTAAAGAAATGCATATGTATTATTTTTTGTCGTAACTACTAAATTATTATTTTCTTTAATTTAATAAGAGTAAAATGGAGTATTAATTATCCCAACTTTTATTGGGATAGGTTCGCACCTTAGACCTTTTTATTGAAATCAATGAGTAAGTTAACGGTGAACTAACAGAAATTAACAGAAAAGATAATATTTAACGGAAAAGTTAACGGATAATCATATTCATTAAGGATAAATTAGGAAATTTTAAGGAAAAAATTAAAATCTAATCAATCTGAGCCATTCATTTGATTAAAAAATTTGACCGCCATTTTTTCTACCCATTATAGGCCTAACTCTCTTGAGCTCCTATTAGTATACTAGTTTTTTACGCGCATTGCGCGATTGGTATAATACCCAATGTTTTTTTTCAAAATAAACACTTTAAAGTATATCATGACAAGATTATATTGGAATTGTGCATGCATAGATAATTGAATGTTGAATTTGCGTGTTTAAATATGTAATTCTAAGTTTACAAATGCAAGATAATATAGTCAAGATTGATTATAATTGTCAATAAAATAATTTTATAGGTATGGTTGAAACCAAATACGGGACATAAGGGAGAGCAAATAAAAATTAGGGTATAAAATATTAAATATATACTAATATTGATAGCTAAGTGCTGATTGCCAAACAATGACATTGCGAGGTAGTTTCCCACTTCAATTTGTTGTGTGATTTGAATACTCTTTTTGTGAATAAAACCCCCAAGTAGTTAATATGATTGGCTTAATTATATATATATATATATATATATATATATATATATATATATATATATATATATATATATATATATATATTAAACAATTATTATTATTATTATTATTATTAAATATATGTATACCCTTAAGTCATTTTACATGTTAATCTAAACAGCTAATTTTTTCAAATATCTTTTTACCAACCGTTGATATAATTTGCTGGTCAAATCTGCTAATATAATTCGCTAACGCTAATCGCTAACTGCTGATTGTCAAACAAGGACATTGTGAGGATAATTCTCACTTCAATTTATCGTGTGATTTGAATACTCTCTTTGTCAACAAATTCCTCAAGTAATTAATATGATTGGCTTTATTAATTCTAATTTTTTTAATTTTTTCATGGTATCAATATACTTGGTAAATAAATATATAACATTATTTTGTATTATAACTTTGATATTTAATTTAAAAATAGTGCACAAAAAAGATAATAGACAATGTAGTGAATATAATCAATTTATGAATTTGAATGAAAAGAATATTTACATTGGAGAAATATAAAGACAATATTACTAATAAAATTATTTCTCTTAATTAATTTATTGATAATGAATATATTTTTTTTAATAAAGACATTGTAGGGACAATGTAGCGAATATAATCAATTGATGAATTTGAATGTAAAGAATTTTTATATTGAAAAAAAATAAAGACAATATAACTAATGAAATTATTTCTCTTATTTAATTTATTGATAATGAATAATTTTTTTTGAATAAAGACATTGTAGACACATAATTCTAAATTAAAAAAATGCATATGTATTATTTTTTTTAGCTACTAAATTATTATTTTCAATTAATAAGAGTAAAATGGAGTACTAATAGAGCTTGTAGCATTCAAACAAAAAAAAAATAGAGTACTAATTATGCCAACTTTGATTGGGATGTGGTTCGAACCTAAGATCTTTCTTATTGAAATCAATGAGTAAGTTAACAGTGAACTAACATAAATTAACGGAAAACATAATATTTAACGGAAAAGTTAACGGATAATCATATTCATTAAGGATAATCCAAATACGGGACATAAGGGAGAACAAATAAAAATTAGGGCATAAAATATTAAATATATACTAATATTGTTTGATGAGATTCCGACATTAGGATTTGTGGTTAAGTTCTATTAAGACTTTAATATTAGAATTAGATTAATGGTGTAGTCATAATTATATATTAGACTAACGGTGAATTAATGGAAAAGTTAAATGGATAATCATATAATTAAGGGTAAATTAGAAAATCTTAAAAGAAAAAAATTAAAACCTGAACAATATGAACCATTCATTTGATTTAATAATTTGGCGGTCATTTTTTCTACCTAATGTTAATAATTAAATAAATTCACTGGTCAAATCCGCTAGTATAATCCGCTAACGCTAACCGCTAACTGCTGATTGTCAAACAAGGACATTGCGAGGTAGTTCTCACTTCAATTTGTTGTGTGATTTGAATACTCTCTTTGTCACAAAATCTCTCAAGTAGTTAATATGGTTGGCTTTATTAATTATATTTTTCTAATTTTTTCATGGTATTAATAAAATACTTGGTAAATAAATATATAGCATTATTTTATGTTATAACTTTGATATTTAATTAGAAAAATAGTGCACAAAAAAGATAATAGATAATGTAGTGAATATAATTAATTGATGAATTTGAATGCAAAAATTTTTACATTTGAGAAAAATAAAGACAATATAACTAATGAAAATATTTCTTTTAATTAATTTATTGATAATTAATAATTTTTTTTTCACTGAATAAAGACATTGTAAGGACAATGTAGCGAATATAATCAATTAATAAATTTGAATATAAAGAATTTTTATATTGAAGAAAAATAAAGACAATATAACTAATAAAATTATTTATCTTATTGATAATGAATAATTTTTTTTTTTTTGAATAAAGACATTGTGGACACATAATTCTAAATTAAAGAAATGCATATGTATTATTTTTTGTTGTAACTACTAAATTATTATTTATATAATTTAATAAGAGTAAAATAGAGTACTAATTATACCAAATTTGATTGGGATGAGGTTCGAACTTAAGACCTTTTTTTATTGAAATCAATGAGTAAGTTAACGGTGAACTAACGACAATTCTTAAAATTTTAACGGAATTAGTAACGGTGTTTGGGTATTTTAGGAAATTTTAGTGTAAAATGTAAATCTGATCAATCTTTTAATCAATCTGAGCCATTCATTTGATTAAAATCTGTGACCGCCATTTTTTCTACCCATTATAGGCCTAACTCTCTTGGGCTCTTATTAGTATAGTAGATATATATATATATATATATATATATATATATATATATATATATATATATATATATATATATATATAGTACAAAATTTATTATAAGTACGGGAAAATAGATAGTGGTTAACAAAAGAGGTGTTAGATTAGTTGGCAAATGATGCCTTTCATCTTGAAAAAGGGCATGGATTTGAATCTTTTAACACACGTAGCTATACTCAAATGTTTCATTTTTTCAAATTATCTCTTTTATTTTTAATATTTCGCCTCACTGGAGAAAATTCCTGATTCCGCCACTGGTTGTAGATTTAAACCAAATTGTAAATAACTTGCTCAGAATCATTCTTATCATGACAGATTTTAATGTTCACCAAGCATTGCAGACTATTACCGATTACAGAAGTATAAAACCAAACGCAGTAGAGTATGCTAGGAACATAGAGGGATGCAACTGTGCAAGCATTGCAGATCAGAGATCTAACTATGTAAAAGTGCCTTCACAATTTTGTCTCCCATGGCGTCAACATATGGGAACATGTGGCCTGCACCTGGGAGTTCATGATAATGAATCCATGGCAGTTTCTGGGCAATGTACCTTTGTAGAGTAACAGGTACAAGCCCATCCTCGTCGCCTTGCCACAGGTGAACTGAACCTTCATTGTTAGGGAATGGATTCTCCAGATCCATGGGATCAAACTCCCATTTCCCAAACCCAACTATCATGTCTCGGTGGATAGATTCGAATTCGCCTTGTGGTTTCACTTGCGCCTGAAGTTCCACACAAAACAAGATTAAGTCTCCTAAAAATAGCAGATAAAGATAGCCACTTTGTTGACGTAAATGACTATGCACTCTTGTCCCTTATGAAAGGTCAGAGTTTAAAACTCTCCTATGGAAAAACCAATATAAATATATGATTAGTACTTTACTTCTTAATTGGGTCGGCTCAACTCGAACAGGAATTATGGATTAAGATGGGAAATTCTAGCCATCCTAGTGCATATTCTTGCCTGCTTATGGGAGAAACAGACCAAATTAGGGAGTCAATTTGGTCAGATTGTATACTTGGTAACTACAATATTACAAGTTCGACTGTCACTCAGAGTGGTTTATATGTTTTCTTGGTTTGAGTCAATCAGCTATAGACAAGGCAACCTAAACTGACTTATGGTCCTTTGCTGACTAGAATCACAAGATGAAGTGGGGATAGATTTTGCCGACTGAATTCTAACCTGATACTTCTGTCTTGCGGGAAGATACTTGGTCATCACTTCTACGTCTTGTGGATTAAACAGACTAGGCTCATAAGCTGCAACACTCGATGCAGGAAAAAGCTTTTGAGTGTTCCACCAGTAGGTGAGCCATGGGATATAGTGAGAAACACGAAGAGTCCATTGATCCCGGGTAAATTGACTGTCATATGCTTGCTTAGACAAGTTTCCTGGAAAACCAGGCCACCAGTAATTCACAACTGGTGCTAAAAGTACTGCTCCTGCCAATCTGTTTATAAACAGAAACACTTCAATATGGATGAAATCGATCAAGATTGACCAAAAAAAAATGAAACTTTAAAGAGAAGATGTTCAAGACAATAAATAGGCTCAACTTTACTAGGGAAATTCCCACATTTCAATCCCTTAGGTAGATTGTGGGAAAATGCAGGATTAAGCTCTGGTGGCCTTTCACCCTCTTGTGGCCACTCAATACTGGTCCTATCATCTAACAAGTGGCTGAGCCACCTTTATAATCTTAATGAGGTGAGGGGACCACAATATGAAGAAATTTGCTTTTTTATTGAGCAAAAAATTGTTATTCCAAAAAGTTGAATCTTTAACTCCAAGGGTCCCACGTTCCAGTCCGACAAAATATAGGCTAGACCTTTACTTACTTGCACAAGAAAAGTCCCTCATTTTGAGAAGTTGTTCTCACATTACCGCTAGTGAGACTCCATCCCAGATCACTAATTCTAAACTTTACACATGTGACCGATTGAATTGCCCACGCGGGCTCAAAAAATGGAGCATACCTATGAGGGATGTACTTGAGACAGCTCCAGACAACTTGACCACCCATGGAAAACCCAACAACATAGAATTTTGAACCTAGTTCCAACTGATCAGCAAGCTCCTGGATGTCGAAAGCTATGCTCTTTTCTTTTCGGTTTGGATTAGGATCGCTTTCTCCATAGCCTGGTCTATCAAATGACACTATGTAGATTCCCAGACTTTCAATCACATTCTGCAGATCAGAAAAAAAAAGTTTCAATTCAAACCCAACTGCCATGGCTTTCAAAGGAACATTTGTAAAATCCAAAGCAAATAAAAAAAGGAACATTATATTACAGGAGAGAGAGTGACAGCAACAGCAACATCATGCCTGCAACAATCGAAGCCATGAACAAACACCATCTTATAGCTTGCTCTGTTTCTGGGAACACCATGCTCTTTGTAAGCCAAATGCCTTCCATCACTGAGCTTAATTCTGTGCGCCGTGACAGGAGGCCCATCCAGTGAGCCACATGTCTTGGGAGGCGGCGGTGTAATTTCACGATAAGCCCATGCCAAGAACCCCACAGAACAGATTGCTATTACTTTTCTCAACACCCCTGAAATTTTCTCATTCAAATTGTAACACAATCAGAAAACCCCATAACCCCATTTCTTGACAGTTCTGAGATTCAAATCCAAATTGCATCTTCTTCCCCCATCCCATCTATCAAGAATCTGGAAAGCCTAAATTTACAGAAATCAAGAAACGAAATTTACAGATTCAAGAAGAAAGCAAGCCCCACCTGAAGAAAGGAACATGGAAGTCTTCCCCTTAGGCTTTCTGGTGTGAGATCTTGCTGAAGCTGCAGAAACTTTCCCACTTGCTCCAGCAGCCATTGAAGTCGATCTATCTTTGCAACTTGCAAGGAAACAAACAATTCTAGTCTATACTCTTTTATAATAGGCGAACAGATCTAGGAGTAATTTTGAAAGTGTATGAACGAACGGCTGAAAATGAATCACGGCGATTTGGCACTGACACCAATGCTCGGCAAAGTTGACTATTGCCGTGAAATCAAATATATAGTCCGTAGTAGAAATTCCATGGGAGTCAAGGTTCCTGGAATGCATGAAACAGGAATGGGTACGTTTGTGATTCGCCAAGCAAATAATAATAATAATAAAATAAGACTGATAATAATTTTAAAATAAAATAACGGAAAATACTAAGTACAGCTTACGTTATCGCATTAGTCAATCGCCGTGCCTCACTGCCCTGTTTTCAATCCACTCACAAAACAATTTCAGATTGACCGTAGGGGCGGAGGCAAAAAAAATATATTTAAGAAAATTTACTATGTCAGCCCATATGATACGCCCTTAATTGTAGCATAATTATGAAGAATTAATTATATTTCTAGAATTAGTAGGATAATTAGGATGGTACAACTAAATTTGTGGGAGAGTAATATTCTGCCTAATTTAGCATAATAAGGAAAATATGTGTGATTACCTTGTATAGTTAGTATAGTTTTGGTGGGTTAATTATTATAGGTATTAGTAAATTAGTATAAATAGGTCCATTGTATATGAATATAAGAGACTTCTGGCTTTTAACCGTATTCGAGTCACGGTAAACTCCAAATAACAATATATTTCTTTGTCTCCCAAGTCCCATCTTCATATATAATGGAACTATTTATACTAATTTACTAATACCTATAATAATTAACCTACCAAAACTATACTAACTATACAAGGTAATCATACATATTTTCCCTATGCTAAATTAGGCACAATATTACTCTCCCACTAATTTAGTTGTACCATCCTAATTATCCTACTAATGCTAGAAATATAATTAATTCTTCCTAATTATGCTACATAATTACAATTAAGGGCGTATCACTATATCAATATTATTATATTAATTGTATCATGTCATTATATACAATTGTTATGCCATGGACCCGGGTCCAAAACGAGGCCATCTGAATTTTTTTTTAAAAAAAATTACTTCTTTCATTGCAGTTAACTTACCGTTTGTCTTCAGAATTCATTTCTTTATATTCATAATTTTTGAACTCTATATTCACAATTTTAGAACTGAATATTCACAATTTTAGATCTCAACATACAAAATTACAGAACGCAATATTCACAATTGCAAAACTCTATATTCACAATTTTTGAACTCTATATTCACAATTACAAAACTCTACATTCAACAGTATAACACAATTTTTGAACTCTATATTCACAAAAAATATCATTGGCTGAGGAAACGATGCCACTAATGATCAATCGTTATATCGTGCACCAGGGCGGACAATGCATTGTGCGGCCTGGCCCAAAACCACGACGTTTCGATAAGTTGGTGGGGAGTTGATGCGACGGACACCGTTCTGTCCGTCCAATCCCGCGACAGTTTTTTTTTTTAAAATTTTTTTATAACACTTGTGTTTATGTGTATTATGTATTATGTTAGGAGTTTATGTGTATTCTACCATACAATGCTGTACATACGAAACGAGAATTTTTTTTAAGAAGTTAAAGCAGAAACGGGAAACAGATACAAAACGACGTCATTTTGGGTCATGCATTGTGCGCCCCAGTGCACGATATAATTTGCCACTAACGACACCGTTATTCCAGACGCGCGTTTTGGACCTGGGTCCACAACATAATTTGCCCGTTATATATCATACATAATTATGTCAATTATTATTAATAATGATTTATAATTACATTCTTTGCAATAATGTATGTGATATATAATTATATGAGTACGATGGCGTCGATCATTACTTTAATTTTTTTTTACACATAATAAAATATACATACAATATATATATATATATATATATATATATATAATTATATATATATATATATATATATATATATTGTATGTATATTGTATGTAATGTTTAATTGCTCTTTTAAGTAATGTTTGAGGGCTTATTTGATCATTTCTCTTCTTTTAATAAAAAAATATATAAATATATTTTTAAATTCTTTTTTTTTTTTGAATTATACTCTTTAAACGCGCCATAAATTTTTTAAAATTATAGAAATGGCCTTAAAATATTTCGAAAAAGCCTTTTTTTTTTCCATGAAATTTTAATATAAAAACATGTTCAAAACATGAAAGTCATCGTCCCTAAAAGTTTCTGTAAATTAAACCATTAGATTTGAAATTAAAGATATCACCAAACAACCCTTTTTTTTGTATTAATAAAATGATAATATATTAATAATTAGTCAGTGTTGGTAAATAATTAAAAATAATGTAATATTGATTAGTATGGTATTTTTCTCTTAAGAACTGCTATCAATGCTGACCAAATTGATGTCTGATCAAACCCCATTCATTGGGCATGCATAGGAAATAGGATGATATATAGATCAAGAAATTATTTAATTAATATTAACCGTGTAACTAAGTCATTGTTTGACATCGTCCATTATGGCATTATTACTTATGTAATAATTGGCTAGCTAATGCATAACATATAGCCCATCTACTCATAATAAAAATGTAAAACAACATTGGATTAAAAACTGTTGGGAGTTCACCAACGAGTTTATTCATAGACAAGTCTAAGATTTGTAGTGACTTCTTTGCACCTTCTTATATACAACTTTTCAAAAAGCTCAGTAATTGATTCATATAATTGATCATCACTTTATGTGTTGTAACTTATGTTAATTTCGAATGAAGAAGCTCTTAAATACGCAGGTGAAAGCTGATATATTTAACTTTCCGTCAAACAAATATGTTGGATGGTAAATATCAATACCTACCCTTTTAACTTTTTACCTACCAATCAATTCGATTTTACTGTTCAACATAAAATGTTGGACATAAATTCAGTCCAACGTACTACAGTTGGATGAAAAATCTGTCAAACTTTTCATCCATTTGTCTTTACTCTTTAATGATGAAAAGTTGAGATTTTTAACAAACAACCAACATTGTTGTTGAATGAAAATTTTGGTAAAAAACAACGAGAATTCTAGCTGTACAACAATAATTTTAGTAAACAATAAATTTTATCAAATATATTTCTACAAACAACTAATATTATATTATTAACTGTTGGAGATCTGGAAAGAAGAGAGAAAGGTTGGAAGAAAGAAGAAAAAAAGGGTATTATGTTTCATTCAATTCTTGCTGAGATACAAAGCAGAAGTACTTATGCTAATGGCCCTTGCTAACTAATTAACAGAAAGTAACAGACTGAAAGAAATGGTACATTCAACAGTAATAACTAACATAACAGAACTAAATAGATTTGTTTATGACTTGACTGTTGCTTGACTTCTGCTGTTGTTCATTGATGGAGGCTGGTGTATCCCTTGAGATCCCCCCGCAAGCTGGATTGTAGAGATTAAACAATCCCAGCTTGGAGACATAGTTGTAGAATGTGGCTGGACAGTGAGCTTTTGTTAAAATATCTGCAAGCTGACTGCCAGAGGGAACATGAAGAAGCTTGATTATTCCTTTGTGAAGCTTTTCTCTAACCAAATGGCTATGCTTGGTTCTCTCATGAAAGACCTGGTTTTCAGAGATTGCAATTGCAGACTTGCTGTCACAATAGATGGCAGTTGGTGTTTTTGAATGTAATCCAAGTTCATTGAGCAAGTAAAGTAGCCATTGGACTTCACAAGTAGTTGCTGCTAGAGCTCTATATTCTGCTTCTGAAGAGGACCTGGATATTGTAGCTTGTTTCTTGGACTTCCAGGAGACTAGAGCATGGCCAAAGAAGATACAGAAGCCAGTAACAGATTTCCTAGAATCCACACAAGCACCCCAATCTGAGTCAGAAAAAGCCTTCAAGTGTAGATCAGAAGATGCTGGAAAGAAAAGACCCTGTCCATGAGCACTTTTAATATATCTTAAGACTCTGTGTGCAGCTTGTAGATGTAGATGTGTAGGTTTGTCCAAGAACTGGGACAATTGTTGTGTAGCAAAGCTTATGTCAGGCCTTGTAATTGTTAAATACAACAATTTTCCAACAAGTCTTCTGTATTGAGTATTGTCATCAAGAAGATCACCTTCATCTTTACTCAGTTTGTGTGTAGGAACAGTGGGACTAAAGACTGGTTTGGAATCAGTGAAACCTGCTTCATCTAACATCTCTAAAGCATACTTCCTTTGAGAAAGTGCAATTCCCTTTTTCTGTCTAGCTACCTCCAGGCCTAGAAAGTACTTCAAAGGGCCAAAATCCTTGATTTGAAATTGATCATTAAGCTGGTTTTTGACCTGCTGAATCAGATTCAAATCACTACTAGCCACTACTATATCATCTACATAAACCATTAGGGCTATAAAAGATGAATCCTCCCCTTTTGTAAATAAGGAGTTATCAGGAATAGATTGTGTAAATCCCATATTCTGCAGGGCAAAGCATAGTTTGGTGTTCCACTGTCTGCTTGCCTGTTTCAGGCCATATAATGATTTGATCAACCTGCAAACCTGACCACTTTTTCCTTCTGTGTACCCAAGAGGAGGTTCCATGTAAACTTTTTCCTCTAAATCCCCATGGAGGAAGGCATTGTTTACATCTAGTTGGTGTAGATGCCAGTCTTTTGCTGCTGCAACAGCTAGAAAGAGTCTAATAGTGGTCATCTTGGCAACAGGGCTGAATGTATCTAGGTAATCAACACCAAGGGTCTGTGTGTAGCCTTTTGCCACAAGTCTTGCCTTATACCTTTCAATAGTGCCATCTGCTTTGTGCTTTATTTTGTATACCCATCTGCATCCAACTGTTTTCTTAGAAGGTGGTAGATCTACAAGTTCCCAGGTGTTGTTGTTTTTTAAAGCAGTGATCTCATCTGCCATGGCTTTCTTCCAATGATCATTTTGCACTGCTTCCTTGTAACTCCTAGGCTCAGTGTGGCAGGTGAGATTCATAACAAAGGACTGAAAAGAGGGTGACAGTTTAGTATAGCTTACCACCCTGGAGATGTCATGGGGTGAAATCTTCAGTGTAGAACTATGACACACATATTCTTCCAGGTAAGCAGGAGTGGTTTTCTGCCTGGTGGATCTCCTGACCATTGGTTGTTGAAGCTGTTCTGGAGAGTCATGCATTTGCTCAATTGAATCGGGAGTGTCACT